TTGATAAAATGTGAGAGGGATGACTGTGGAAGGATAGAAAGGGAATATAGGAACCGTAGTGGAGATAAGCATACATGAGAAGGAAAAATAGTAGTCTTAATTTTCTGAGGGCCTGAACATTCTCGAAATGAGACTTTTCTGGATAATTACCTAGATAAGAACATCATACATACTAGTACCATGCAGGAGAGGCTGATAAAGATAAATCACCTTTTAAAGCATGGAAAATTTAAAACTGCAGGTCTCTAATTTATGGTGCTGGCAGTTTGTGGACCATTTCTTACTATAAGTGGACTGATTGTTGTGTTCTTCCGTGACTCAGAGTTGAAATACTTTTGGATTCACTTTCCCCGCAACTGTTCTCCCACAAGCTCATTCTAAAGTAATATAAAGTTGGGAAGAAGATACATGGCACAGGAAATAATTTAGTGAGGAAATATAGGAGAAATGTACCTTTTAAAGTTCCATCAGGCATTTCTGGAATTTCAAAGAGGCAAGCTCTTTTGCATGGGGTTTTCCCTCTAGACAATCGTTGCTGTTTGTTTCAGCAAAAGAGCTAGTTGGAAGGAAGAATTATTTCTGTGTGAATTCCCCCAGTTGCCAGTGTATTTATGATATATATAAACTCTGGTCTTTAAGAGCTTGCTCAGACACTGTCTCATATCCTCCACTCTGTCCCTCCATAATCTTTAGTATCAACCACAGGACTGCCCTCCTGGGTTAAGATGTTTTGCCCCCAGAACTGTATCGAAGACCTATCAATCTGTAGCGAAGACTTTAAAGCCACCTGTAGTTTAGTGAAGACCTTGAAGACCTACCAGTCAGTATTTTAACCTTCTTATAAAAATTGCCTTAAAATGAAAGAAAACCCTCTTAATACAAGCCTGTTCAGATGGAACTGCTATTTAGCAATGTCACTTGTAAGCAAGGACGATTTCTCAACAGCTCTGCCACCCAGATTATGTGGGCAGATGATTAGCTGGCAGGGAAAAGCAGAGTTGATGGTTGTTTGGCTGTCTGTCTGAGACGGGGCACAGATAGGTGAGGGGGCTGACACCTTTTTTTTCTTTAGAAGTTGTTGCCAACCATGCTAGTCCAAAAGAAAAAAATCAGAAAAACATAGAACACAATCCACACAACGCCATTTATCAGGACTAACCAATTCGCACATAACAGTGTATGAGCTCTCCAGCTCAGCCAGAACTCTTCTTCAGGCTGGATGCTTAAAAAAAAATAGGGAAAGGAAAATGCTTCAGGGCCAGCACAGCCAGGGAAAGAAAGAAAAGGAAGGGGCCAGCAGGGGAAACCTAACCATCCATGGTAATTGGCAGAGGGCTGTGGGAGAGAACAAGGAGGTTTGACTGCTCCCTCTCCAGCATGGAGGCAAGATAAAACAGCTGAGTATCCATAGCTGACCAGAAACTAGGTTTATAGGGTCTGGTACCATATTTACTGGACAGAGGACAGACAAACATAAACTAGGACCAATGTTCCCTCTAAGCTGTGGAGTCCTGTGAGCAAAAATTCTATTTTCTGAGCTACCGGCATTAAAGTTGTGAGCAAGCGACTTGGCTACGGCATAAATTAGTTTGCTCCAAAGCCCTCCTTCCTGAGCTAAGACAAAAATGTGTGAGCCGGAGTCTAAAGAATGGTGAGCTAGCTCACACTAATTCAGCTTAGAGGGAACACTGACTAGGACTATCCTGTATAAAGCAGACTTAATAGCCACCATACTAAATCCAAAGGGTTGGTAATCTCCA